ACCAACATGACGAAGTTGGGAAAACAAGGTCAATCAACTTCTGTACAACGAAAGGAGACTGCCACCACACCAAAGGCCACACCATCTTGCTCTTCATACCTTCGATCGTTTGGAATTTATTCGAGGAATTATCTCACCAGAAGCCGATGAAGAATTGCCGCGGAGTAAAGACTGGCGGAATGTGCCAACAAGTCGTCGGCTCACGATACAGCGAACCACCGATGAACTTGAGCCAAGGCTTCGTCTGTACTGCCGTGACCCACATCATCAAAGTAAAAATCCATCCTTCTGCAAATAGTGGTTTAACATAATTTTCGCGCTATTTTGTCAAGTACAGATTCTTGATCTGATGATATCTTTCGCGACGGGAAAGAAGATAGCTTAGCACACGCTGATCGGGGCGTCGTGGGACGGTGAGCCGACGACTTGTTCGTCTCATCGCTTCGGTGTCCGATGAGAACATTTCTCCAATCCCTCACCACCGACTTTTCCTTCCAAGTGCAAAGGGAACTTGTCGACTGTCCCGTCATAAAAGGGAGCAATGAAAGACCAAGTTCGACTCCGGTCGGGAATGTTGATAAGACAGCTGCCAAATCGAATCTGCAGTCGAGCCCGGATGAGATAAGCCTTGAAAGAGGCAACATGCTAACATGGCATCCGACTCGTTTGATTATGGGCAAATTGCCTATCGCCGCTTGACCAGCCCGACTAGAATTCTTATCATCTTTACGAGCATATTGGAGCTGACAAGTCGTGAAAACTGGTGACAGAATCGAGATAAACACCAGCCTCTGGCGAGCAACAACCAGCAGAGCTGACTGATCACCAACTTTATCAGCTCCGGCTTGTCTCGTCAACACCATCCGGGCCAGACCTCTTCGGCCAGTCAAGCCAGACACATCTTCATCCACTCACACGCCCTTGTTCGCTCATCCATACACCCATTTCTCTCCACCATCCACCTACTCACTCATCCATCCTGCTCTCCATCCCTTCCTTTCTCCTTCCGTCCCTCCATCAATCCATCCAGCCATCTATCGATCTATCAATGCCTCTACCGCTCAGTTAGTCTATCTATCCATTCAGCCATCATGACGATGAGGGCTGTCGTCAAGCCAAGCTGGTGTAGGTGCCGTGGCCCGCATAATAAAGTGCATTTGCAGGTGAGAACGAGCAACGGCCTTTGGACCAAATGCTGCAACCAACTTGTATGGAATGAGACGAACAGATTTCTCGAAGCCCAACCTTTCATTGCATTTATGAAGTGGGACTGCGTCTCGGACAGCCCCATGCAACATTCATATTTTCATGACTTTCATTTCGCGTTTGATGAGGAAGCTGCAACAGAAAGCAAATAACGATTGCCGCAAAGTGATGACCGTCGATTGTTGCGATAAAGTCAGTTGAATGTGATCAATTTGAGCTCTTCCGTCTCCCGCGACAGACGTCGTCAGGGCGTCAAATCGGGCATTACAAAACTCCGCCAAGAAGTGTGTGAATAAAGACAGGAAAGTGTGAAAACATGAAGAGCAAGCAAATCTCGATAAGCTGGCATAGTTTTAGACGAAGACCATCATCTTCCACGAGGCACAGACTCGACCTGAGACCGCTCTTTGCTCGGCACATGTCCAAACTGGATTGTATGGGGGCGGCGGGGAGCGGGGAGCGGGGAGCGGGGAGTGGGGGGTACAACAGGTGTCCAGGAGGCGGTGACACCCTCTTGGATGAAGCGTGGTTTTCAAGAGAAGTTGGACATGCTGTCCAGATCCAGTCGTTGCATGATTGCTGGCGCATGTGATGCTGGCCCGGGGAGGACATGTCATCATGCCTGGCCGATGGAATGATTGATAGACTTAACTGGAAAGAGAGCGAGAGAGGCTGAATGATGACCCGCCGACTGGAAGAGGCCGGCTTAACTGGACGGTCCAATGACGATTGTGAATAAATTAGCATTGCTTGTGCGCATCGGTTGAGGTCATGCCTTCCCTCGGGTCATTAAGACCTGTTGACGCTGGCCACTGCGCTTTCGCATCCTGATGCCACACCTACAAAGACAAACTAGTTCAAGTAGATACATACATACAT